AGAAACATTAGGATAATAAATAAATATTTTAAAAAGAAGTGTGAGCAAAACTAATCAGACTCACCTGTGTGTGTCACCATCATATTCATTCAAATTACTCTGCCCACCTGGTTTACAAAATAAAGCATAAAACAGTCAGAAATAATTACTAAAGAAATTAGTCAGCTTATAGAAAAAAAATTTGGACAGCATTAAAAGTCGTGCCAACCTGTCTGAAGAAATGTGTTGGAGTCATCATAACCGGCTTCAGTCACCAACATGACACACTATCAAAGAGAAAACATTTTGGCAGTTTTTAGATGTGCCACATATACAAAACACCAGAGTCAAATGGCTCAATTGCCTCCTCATTGTGTATATATGTTCTCCAGTATCCTGCTAATCACCTAATTATTGTATTCAGGTGTGGTGCAGCAGCGGTACATCTAAATGTTGCAGGACAGTGGTCCTCCAGGACCAGAGTTTGACACCTGTGGCATAGATCAAGCCAATGGTCCAGCACAGTCACTCCCCTATTTTGCAGTCTACAGCCAAAAACTTAAAGAAAACGACCTCCGCAGCTAAATAATGTTAACTCAAATGGCCTCCAGATTTTCCTGACAGCTTTAATGTTTGGTTAAGATAATAAATAGTCGTATATACCGTGATATCCAAACAAATAAACGTACGTTAAGCGAACTATGTATATGAATTGATACTCTTGCGTAAACGGAAAAATAATGCCTCCATAAAAAGTAGTCAAAAACATGATCATTTTAACATGGAACTTACCTTGTTGTAATAAGCTCCAGACAAGACACCATACTGCTGCCTCCGCTCCTCAGGCAAACATGTGACGCAGTAGCGAACAAGACGGCGTCGGGAGGGGGGCGGGGCTAATGACCGGGCCCAAATAATAAAGCTCATGATAATTTATTTAACTTTACAACATGGACATGCCCGTAACAGTGGCGCTAACAAGTTTCATCACCAGAGAGAGCGACTAAGTCATTCTGAAATCCATCTGACATGAAATACAACAAACCAAGAAAACAGAAACATCAGGCAACTGGTCACTAATGATGAAACAACACAAATTCAAAACATGTTAACGTAATCCATAGAAATACTCTAGCTAGTTTCCCATTTGTTGCCAAGTGACTGATGATGACATTGGTGACAAGCTTTACCCAGAATGCACCTGGAGACAATAAGGATGATTAATTTGTAGTTTTGTGTGTCATAAAGTTAAATATAAGAGTGAAAATAAAGCCAGTCATGTGGCAGAACTTTTTATTCAATATTTTACACTCACTATGTCACTAAAATCAGTCAGTCTGGTAAGGTTTTTCTCAACCATGAGTCAACAATGGGGCACCCTACTATATAACCTACTGGGGTAAGATACACAGTGTTCAACAGGAGAGGGCCCTCCTTTACTGTTCTCATCAGATGGTATAAAGAAAAATTGGATCCCTGAGAAGGCATGTTCTGACTCCCATGTATGTCCCCTGTAGGTCCAGGCCAGAGGCCTGCTGCAACCCCTACCCTATCTGTTGCTCCTTCCCTGATGTGATGTCACAAATATGTTACAATTGTGGGAGGAATTTTTCTGAGTGTTGAGTTAGACTGTTGGAGTTAATTTAGAAATCAACACTGGACTGGATTGCTTTTTGATTAACCCTTTGGAACTCTTTAGTGAGTGTTAGGGAAACTAACACTCACTAACACTCATGTTGTTGAATTAACACCAACACTTGCACTAGAAATCTGACACTTGAATTTGCTGTGTAGAGAAGATCAGAACATGAGGATGGAAAGACCAGCAAGTGTTGAGTCAGAAGGCCAGGTAGGGAAGGAAGTGTTGCTTTTAAGGGCCAGGTGTGTTTAGCTAAATATATTTTGTTTCATAAAAAAATATTTTCATGATTAAAAAGTTTTTAAGATTTGTTTTGTTTGATTTTTTTTTTTTGATTGAATGCTACTTTTTTGTTTGACATGAGTTTTTTTGTGATTGAATAATTGTGAAACAAATCTAACTCCACTATCTTAAATTTATATAAATTTACAGAAAATGTGACTGCAAACATCAATCAAAATGTTCTAGACAAAAGTATAGCAGGCGACTTTCTGACATTATTAAGCATCAGCTTAAAACTTAGTAAAACTTCTAACAAAACCATCAACACCTTCAAGTTTAACTGAGACATGTTGCAGCTGTTTAAATATTTTAGTCAACACATGAAACAGAATCTGCTCAGCATTGAGTCCATTCTATGCAAATAGAACAATCATGTATGTCACAACTATAGTGTGTTCAATAATTCAGTCATGCCATTGTGAACTTACAGCAAATTTCAGGTTATTGGATGCCTCAGGTCCATCAAACTTGAAGTTTTCAAAGTCTGGGAAGTTTTCTGAGGATCCACTGACTCTTGGAGCGAATCTCCTGTACTGCTTGTGGTGGGTGTCCGGGTCAAAGTAGAGGGCATAGTCACTCATGCTGTCGCACACCCCATCCAGGAGCTCACTGAGGTGCGTTTCTGAGCGAGCAAACGGGACCTGTCAACAAAAATAAACAAATAAAAATGGAGGATTACACTGAGAGCTCATGAGCTGGATGGCATCAGGATGCAGTGTTGTTTCCTGGATATAGCCAAGCCTGACCTTGTTCAGTAAGATTTACGTTCCTATTAGGTCAGTGGTTCTTAACCTTTTTTGAGGTTCCGAACCCACCAGTTTCATATGCGCATTCACTGAACCCTTCTGTAGTGAT